TCCTCCTCCCCCTCCTCTCCCCCCTTCTCCTCCTCCTCGCCCCTCCCCCTCTTGCCCCTCTGACGCCCTCCCCCTCTTGCCCCTCTGCCCCCTCCCCTCGTGCCCCTCTTGCCCCTCTGACGCCCTCCTTTTTCTCCTCCACCTCCTCCTCTTTCCTCCTCCTCCTCCTCCCTCTTGCCCCATTGCCCTCCATCTCCACCTTCCCCTCATATTCACTCCTCGCCTTCCCGTTGCCCCCCCCTTCCCCATACAAGTCATCCCTCTACGCCTACTCCTCTTGGCGGCGCGCACAAACAGCGGTATGGGGGAGGGGGGAAGGCCTCTTAGAAGGAGGCTGCCTCGTAGAAGGCGCCTTCTAAGAAACAGGGGTGCTTCTAAGAAGCCTTCCCCTTTCATACCCTACGCAGACATCCGACGTCCCGATCAACACGCTGTGACACGCGTCGGCGGGCAGAGACAACACCTGCGCAGTGGAAAATGGATGGGGGAGGGGTACGATGCCAGATATGACGCCAGCACGTCTGGGCTGCCCCTCCCCCTCTCCCCCCCCCCATCCCTCCCCCTCTGCCTTTGCCTCCCCTAGAGCCTGTTTTTTGCTATTCGCGCTCACGAGCATGATCGGGGGGGTCCTTCCCCCCGATAGTATCACGACGGGGGAACACCAAATTTCTCAGCATGAAATCCTACCAAGGATTCCTATAACATCTTTGCACATGTGGGCAAACTAGCGTGGCGTGATCCGGGCGGATGGGGGGAGGGAGGGAGAGGGTCGATCACGGCTGTTATCGCCCAGACCTTCAAACTGATATTGCTACGAACCCCGACCTTGGAGGACAAGTGGGCGTGGCTTGCGAGGAAGAGAAAAACAAATAAGAGGATGTCTGTAGGGCGCAACATGCTGATTCCCGTGTTGTCCGTTTGACGCTGTGCCGTTTTAAGGCGCATTATGCTGCTTCCCGTGTTGTCCGTTTGACGCTGTGCCACTTTGTCGGGGCGTCTCCGACCATCTTGGAGCCCTGTTGGGCAGTCTTCGGGCCCCGGGGCGTCTCCGACCATCTCGGGGCCCTCGTAGGCAGTCTTGGGACACTCTTGGAGGCCTCTGGGGGCTTCCTGGAGACCTCTTGGAAGCTTGTTGGGGCCTCTTGGGGGCCTCTCGGGGCCTCCTGGAGGGTCTTGGGCGGAAGGCAAAAAATGTCGGTCCTTCCCCGCCCCTTTGGGGCTCCTCTTGGTGCATTCCTTGGCCCTTCTTAGGCTGTTTTGGAGGCCTCTTGGGCCGTCTTAGGGGCGTCCTGGGCCGTCTGGGCGATCTCTCGTAGGGGCCTCTCAGGCCATTTTTGGGCGATCTGTGGGGCCTCTTGGACCGTCCATGAGCGTCGGGTGGACGATAAGGCCAAAACGCGACAAACCTTCAAAACCAAAGGAAAGCACATGATTTGTTACTCTTGAGGCTCTCTTGGGGGGCCTCTTGGAGGCCTCCTGGGGCGTCTTGGGGGCTTCCTTGGCCGTCTGGAGGCCATCTTGGACGGTCTGGACCGTTCTTTCGGCGACTCGTGGCCTTCTTGGACCAGACCGTGCCGCCCAGAAGCGCGTCTGCCGAACTGGGGCCGATTGCAGCCGTCTTCCGCCGGCTTTCGCCGGCGATCCGCCCGTGGCCGGGGCCATGTCCCGGCTCCCCTAGAACCCCCCGATGGAACACACAACGGGAACCGCTTCGCAAGGTCGGGGAACAAAACGCTCCTATCCTCGGGCACACGCATGAGTGGCCTAGACACGAGTAATCTCTGGTTGGTGCGCAGCTTCGGGAGTGCCTGGGGTGGGCGGGTGGGGGATGCGGCACCCCGAAGCGCGCAAGCCGCTGCTGCCGCATCTGGCTCAGCGATCGGGAGGCCCCAGTGGTACCGCATAGAGGTCACTCTGGCGAAGAGTCACGCCTATAAGACGAAACCAGGATGCGGATGACATCGGGTGAGGACGAATAGAGAGTATCTGAGATCCGGCGGCTCTGGAGGATGTAACGGGCGCAGCGGCCTTCTCAGAGCGGTACGAAACGCTCTGAAAGCGTTCCAGAACGCTCTGGAACGAATTGCTTCTCGTCTTAGCCCCGTCCGATCTTAACCAGACATCCAATATTTCCAAATTCCCGACCCTCTCCCCAGGGCTAGCTCTTTTTGCCCTGAGTCATTTTGGACGTTCCCAGAGAGGCCGAAAACGACGAGAGACCTCCGTCTTGATTCTCGTCCCGACGGTAGAGGTGTTGGCACGTGCAGCCGATGTGCCACTTGATGAGGCTTCGGGTTACGCACAGTCCCAGCTGGCCTCAACAGGCCCCCCGGGTCGTCCCAGCTGGCCTCAGCAGGCTCCGAGCAGCCCGGGACGGTCTCACCACCTCAATCCTGGGTCGCGGCGGCGCCAGGATGTTGAGACCGCCCCGGGCTATACTCTGGGTGGGCCTGCTGGGGCTGGCTGGGACTACTCGGGGGGCCTGTTGAGGCTGCGACTACCTGAGGGGGGCTGCCTGTGCACAAGTCTGGACTGGAGGCTCAGAAATTGGCACCAACACCAACACCGAGGCTTGCCTCCACTAGGGAATGGCGATCCCACATTTTGGTGCTGGTGGCACTCCTTCGGCCACCTTGGAGGCCCGAACCTGACCACCATCATGGAGCTCGGAATCGTCTCCGCTCGGTGGAGGCACGTCGCCGATTTTGGTGTTCGTGTCAACCTCTGGGCCTCCGGCTGGAACCTTACCGATCCACCTCTTGGGAGCGGCCAAGAGGGGGGTGTCCAAGAGGAGGGGGTGCAAATCATGACCGGCGGCATGTGCGCGGCCCAGCGGGGGGGGCCCGGGATGCAAGAAAATCAGAAGAGGCGCTGTGAAATGGGAGGAAAAATCGTGGCCCGCGCCATGAAATCCCCCCCCCCCTAGTCATCACCCCCCTCTTTTCCTCTCCCGAACCTCCCAGACCCCCGACGTAATGATTTTTTCATTACGTCGCCCTCCAGAGGTCCCGACCCTTTCCCCAGGACCGGCTTTGCATCCTGAGTCGTTTTTTGACGCTCCAGAGGCCGAAAATTAGGAAAAACCTTCCGTCGTGACTGTTTCATTACTCGAGGGGGTCTGGGTCTTCTCCGCTCCCGAGCCTCCCTTCCCCGACGGGGCACCGGCGACACCAGCCGGGGCGGGGCTGCGACGGGAGCTCAGCCCGGCCGCCCCGCGCGCGCCGCGGGGCTGTCGCGCGGCAGGCCGGCGGGGGGTCGGCGGTGCTCCGCGTCGCGCGCCCTCGGGGGAGGGGAGGGGGAGGCGAGGGGCAAAGAGGGGGAGGGCGTCAGAGGGGCAAGAGGGGGAGGGGCGAGGAGGAGGAGAAGGGGGGAGAGGAGGGGGAGGAGGAGAAGGAGGAGGAGGAGGAGGGGGAGGAGGAGGAGGAGGAGGAGGAGGAGGAGGAGGGGGAGGAGGAGGAGGAGGAGGACAGGAGGAGGAGGAGGACCAGGGAATCCTGAGACTCATCCACGACGTTGGAATACACCCTCCCTCCAAGCTTCCTCTTCACAGGCTCCTACAGAGGTTCATTCCCACTGGAAGAGCTGCCCCGTTGGGGGACAACCGTGTGAAAATCCTGAAGCGTGCCATAGCACCATGTTCAGGATTTCAGCGCCACGAGTTAACCTGACTGTTAAGTCTTGGTGAGCCTGAATCGCGCCAGAAACCCATTCCTGACCTCAACACCGCGCATCAAATCAACAATTGCACCCTAAATCTTGAATCGTTCCGAAACACCGCTTCTGGTACGTTATCAATGGGAAATGGTGAAACTCTTGCGAACGTATACGACCTGATGTAGCCACGAACCCGGACCTTGGAGGACAAGTGGGCGTGACTTGCGATGAAGAGAAAACAAAGAAGAGGATGCCTAAAGGGTGCATAATGCTGATTCTCGTGTTGTCCGTTTGACGCTGTGCCGCTTTACGGCGCATTATGCTTGTTCCCGTGTTGTCCGTTTGACGCTTTGCAACTTGGTCGGGGCGTCTCCGACCATCTTGGAGCCCTGTTGGGCAGCCTTCGGGCTCTGGGGCGTCTCCGACGACCATCTCGGGGCCGTATTTAGCAGTCGTGGGGCCCTCATGGGGGTCTCTTGGGGCTTCCTGGGGCCTCTTGGGGACCTCTTGGGGCCTCCTGGCGGGTTTTTTGGGCGGAGAACCCAAGAATGCCGGTCCGTGCTTCCCCTCTGGGGCTCCTCTTGGGGCGTTCCTGGGGCTTTCTTACGCCGTCTTGGAGACCTCTTGGGCCATGCGCGCGGCGCTAAGGCGAGAGCCACATTTTGAAAAGGAGCCGCCCTAAATTCGTGAAACTCTTCCACATGTTTAAAGCGAATGTGCGCGGCGCTAAGGCGAGATCCACAGTTTGAAAACCACCCGTCCTCAATCCGTGAAGCTCTTGCAAAGTTTGAAAAGAGGGCCGCCCTCAATCGGTGAAGCTCTTGCATTTAAAAAACGAATGTGCGCTGCGCCTAAGCGAAAGCCACAATTTGAAAACGACATGCCCTCAACCCGTGAAGCCCTTACCATTTTGTTTAAACGCATGTGCGCGGCGATGAAGCGAGAGAACCACATGTGGAACAAAAACCCGCCCTCAACGCGTGAAACTCTTGCAGTTTGTTTGACGAGTGTGCGCGGCGCCAAAACGAGGGTCACAGTTTGGAAGCCGCTCGCCCTCCATCCGTGAAGCTGCTGTCAAGGCTTAAGCTTCAGGACTAGAAGTGGACGAGGTCTCAGGCGAGACGACCGGCCCGTCCTTTGGACCGGCCTCGGGGTGCGACGGGGAGGAGTTATCCAGAAGGAGCAGGGAACGGAGGAGGAGGAGGAGAAAGAGGGGGAGGAGCAGGAGAGAGAGGAGGAGGAGCAGGAGCAGGAGGAGGATGAGGAAGAGGAGGAGGAGGGAGGAGTGGAGAGGGAGAGGAGAAGGGAAGAAGGAGGAGCGAGGGGAAGGCAGAAGGGAGGAGGGCCTAAAGCGACAGGCTGCACCCTGGACTGCGGCCACTGCGCCGTCGGCTCCCCGTGCCCGCTGAGGCCTGCTGCGACGGATCTGGTGAGGCAGCATGGGTCGCAGGGGCCTCCAACTCTATCGGCACGTTCTCCAGCTCGTCCAACTCTGCCCTCCAAGAGGGGGATGATGATGATGATGCTGATGATGATGATGCTGCTGCTGATTATGATGATTATGATGATGATGATGATGATGATGATGATGATGGTGATGATGGTGATGCTGATGCTGATGATGCTGGTGATGATGGTGATGACGATGCTAGATGCTGGTGATCATGATGGTGACGATGATGATGATGATGATGATGATGATGATGATGATGATGATGATGATGATGATGATGGCGACGATGATGATGATGACGGTGGTGATGATGATGATGATGATGATGATGATGATGATGATGACGATGCTGATGATGACGATGATGATGATGATGATGATGGTGATGATGATGACGATGATGATGATGATGATGGTGATGATGAAGAGGAGGAGGAGGAGGAGGAGGAGGAGGACGACGACAACGACGAAGACGAGGAGGAGGAGGAGGAGGAGGAGGAGGAGGAGGATCGGGGTGAGCAGCAGGGCATGGTTGTGGTAGAGCTCCCATACCCTCAGCACCGAGCACCAGAGAGGAGGAGGGGGAGCAGCACCATGAGCACCAGCAGGAGCAGGAAAAGGGGGAGGTCAGGGACGGTGGGACGGAGGAAGAAGGCTGGGGGGTGAGGGAGGAGTCTGGACAGGGTGGGGCGGGAGGAGGCTGGGGGGTGAGGGAGGAGGCTGGGGGGTGAGCGAGGAGGCTGTGGGGAGAGGTGGGGCGGGGTGGGGGGAAGCCTGGACCGTAGCCACGCTGGGGGAGGAAAGGCAGTCAGGAGGAGAGATCTACAGGCGGACGGGCGGACAGGCAGACAGGCACGCCGACAGGCACGCCGACGGGCAGGCAGACAGGCAGGCAGACCGGCCACACATAGCGGAGCACAGGACGAAGTCTTGAAAGCGAGACGTAGCTCCAGGGGCGAACTACAATCTCTCCTGTCGGGCCCCGCCTGCCAGCAAGAACTTGCGGATTGCGGGGAGGAAAAGGAGGAAGAAGAGGAGGAGAGGGAAAAGGAGGAGGAGGAGGAGGAGGAGGAGGAAGGGGAGGAGTCACACTGCCCATGAAAGGAAAAGTCAAGGGAGAGAGCAAGGGAAAACTGGACGGGGAGGGGCGCATCCGGGGGACGCTTCTTGTTCCCTGACAAAGGGGGCGCCATTCCTGCCAGGGCCCGCCGACAGGGCACCCCCCCCACCCTCACGGTTGCCCTTCTGCCGAGGAGTCCGCTCGACCGGGCCCGCTCTCTCTTCCCCTAGGCCCCCGCACGGCCCGGCAAGACTCGACGGCCCAACGCCTCCGCCTCCCCGCGGGGGCGGAGGCCGCGAGCGGGCCGAACGGATCCCACTGCCAGACGGGCGGGGGCGAGGGCCTGCTCCGAGAACGGGGCCGCCCGAGGAGCCACGGACCACCCCGGAGGCCCCAAGGGGCATGTCCGCCCGAAGTGCCGAGAGCACGCCCTGGTCTGGGACGCACAGGGACATACTAATACCATATGTCCTCCTCGGAGGCGCGCGTCGGAACCAAGCATATGGTAGACCCATATTGTAGTACATCGTTTCCCGAGCGGCGTGGCCAGAGAGCCCCCGCCACGACGCATGTACTATGAGATTTGTCGGTGCGCGCGTCGCCCCTGGCTGGGCGACGCACGTACAGTATAAGTATGTTGGGGCGACGCCAGGCCGCCACCAACGGGGACCTCGAGGACCCCACAGAGAGACATGACGGAAGGCCGTCGGGCGAAACCCTCCTCGCAGACGCTTGCGCACGGGGGGGGCTGGCCTGCCCGTGATCGTGCTCTGGCCTTTTGGCGCTGGCTCGTGAGTCCACGCTGCCTTGGGGGTACTGGCGCACTGCCAGCAAGAGGGGCGCTCCATGATCAGGCTGCCTTCGGGCACGGCGGTTTCCACAGCGCGGTGCCTTTCCACGCCTGCACCTGCCTGCGTGTGAGCCACGCTGGGTCCACCGACGCGGGCCAGGGGGAAGCCTCCGCAGCGGCAGCAGCAGGCGGCGGGTCAGCAGGAGGCGGAGGTGGCGGGGGGGAGAGGGAGGACAACCCACGGGGTCCTCCGCTTCGGGAACCTCCTCCAAAGCAAACCCGGGGGCCCAAACCCCAATTCAACTTTCTCGGCATCAAAAAACTGGCCCCAATCGAAGCCGACAGCTGCGCGAGAAACCTGCGCGAAGGCTTGGCCCTAAGGTGGCAGCCTTCCAAACAAATAACACATCCTTATCTTGCGAGGAACAACCAAGGAAGCCACTTCCTGCTTCCAAGAGGACTGGCAGGGTAAAGGTTGGGCGCGACGCGCCACTTCCAGCTGGGGTCGCGAGGTCTTCGCGAGACGCGCTGGCCAGACTCCGGAAAGACACCTCGGGAAAACCGCTCCTTCCACCCAGGGGGGGGGGGGGGCTCCGAAGTAGTCACGGCGGCCATGCCGAGCTCAGGCGGCAGGCAAGCCCGCGCCCGCGCAGGGAACTTCAGGGCACCTGAAACAGATGTGAAAGAGGGTCCCTCTTTCTCGTCTCGCAGCGCTGGCAGACATCAGGAAGAGGGGGCTCGCGGTCGTGCAACCTGCCATTGAGTCCAGCGGTGGCCCGCCATCAGGCCTCGGAGGGCGGCCTGCCCGCGGCTACCCCAAGCCTCCGACCAGTCCAACGGAAGCAGGCACGGGACAGGCCACAAAAACATCCCAGACAGAAGCCCAGGACGACGCGACCTGCAGGGATATGGCCCGAACGTGCGGAGCCAGCCTGGCCAAGAAAGACATCCCCCTCGGCATGCAGGCAGGTGACATCTTTGAGCTCCCAGCCGACGCGCTGGGCCACGGTCGCCAAGGCCGCGGCAGGACCACGGCAGGCGATCCAAGGTCGGGCCGAGGCAGCATCGCCCCTGCCCGCTACTGACATGGATGCTCACTAAGTCAGCTGCGCATTGCCAAGCACCTCGCGATACTGGCGCAAAGAATCGGTCGCGAGCGCCAGCAGGTCTCGCCCCCACCCTTGACTCCCCATGCCAAGGAAGAGCTCCACCGACGTGCCGTGCCCTTCGGAAGTCTGCCTTCCGCGCGGGCCGGCGAAGCGCGAACGCCGTGGAGATCGGCGTCTCCATCGCCGTGGGCGCGAGAGCCCCGCATGGCCACCGCTGGGTCTGACCGGTGGATCCTAGGAATGGCCCATCCAGCCCCCCACGGCACGCGAAGACGCGGCGCTCGCCTCCGGGCGGGAAGGCACCGACCGATGCGCGCGCCACCCTCCGACCAGGCCTGTCGGCCGCGCCCCCGCGCAGATCTCGGCGCGACCGTTCTCGGCCTGGCGCGCGCAGGGGCGAGGCGGCCGCTGGATCCGCGGCTGGCCCTGACGAGTGAACCAGGTCGCCTGCCTTGCCCCGCGACGTCGGGGCCCCGCGGGCCCCGGCCGCCGCGGCCCTGGCTTCGGCGCGGGACGTGCACCCGAAGATTTTGCGCGAGGAAAGATGCCGCGGCGCCAGGTGGCATCCAAAGCGCGCGGGCGATGGCAGACAGAGCGCGACGCAGCCGCGCGCTCCTCTTGCGCGAATATGGCGGCTCTGGCCCTGGAGCAGCCCCGACGCGCAGCTTCGCCTCCGTGGGCGAGCAGTTCCGCCGACCGACCTCGGGCGCTCCAGGGCGAGCAGTTAGCCCCCGGGGCGCGCGGGGGCGGCGCCCCCCCCCCCCCCCCCCCCCCCCAAGGCCAACGCAAACGCAAAGTCAAAATGGGCTAGAGCTCCCGGGGGAATCGCCCCCCCTTCCCCCCCCGCCGCCGCCCCCGCGTCGGACGCGACGGTGGATCTGGGTGCAAAACGTCGCGACGCGCGACGTGACGGCCAGAGATGGAAGCCGCCCCGCACACAAGGGCCGCTCCTTCAGCGCAACACATGACTGCGTCGAGAACCTGATCAGCCGCGATAAGCTCCAGGAGCTCCGAGGCTTCGCAAGACCGAGGGCGCTGCTCTCGGCCGCGGGGGCCCGGGCCCCGATGGGGGCCCACTCCTCTCCAAAATGCCGGCAACGGTCGGGCCGTCCTCGCCCTCTAGCCCCAGCGCAGGCCGCGCGCAAGGCTTGGGGCTTTCGGTAGATTAGCGGGCAACGCGGCCGCCCTTGAGGACTGACAGGCGCCTCGCCGAGACTGTCGCGCCTCGCCGTCCGCCGCCAGCCTGCGACCTGCGTGCGCCGACAATTTCTCGACCAGCTCCGGGCACCTCCCGCGACCGCGACGGCCGTCGAGCAGGTCTCGGCCACCGACCGACTTGAGGTCCTGCGATTCGGCTGTCGCAAAGCACGGGCTAGACTGATGGGGCACGCCGCGCGCGCCCCCGCGTCGCCCCCGCCGGCCCCCCCCCCTCGTTGGCAGCCCCGATGGACTAACTGGTTTAGAGCGCGCCGCCGCTGAGGCCGCTTGGCCGCTGGAGCAGCCGATCGCCCGATGAGCTCCTTGCCGCGAGCCGCGCCAGCGGCGCCAACTGAAACCGGCGCCCATTGCCTCGCCCAGAGGATTAAGTCGCACTGTCGGCTTCGACCGCGGGAGCTTGCCGCGAAAAGCCCCCCGCCGCCCTGGCCAATTTCCGAGACGCCTCCGAATGCTCGGGAGGGGCGGCGCCGGCCTCCCAGGACCGAACCGCTTCCGACCAAGACTGGATGGGAGCCCCGGGCTTCCGTCGAGCCCGGCGGGGGGGTCCAGTGGGGCGGCGCAGGGGGCCCAGCCGCCGCTGCGCCTTGGCCTTGCCTGGGGCGCCCGCGCGGGCCATCCGGGCCGCGTCGCGGGGGCCTCCGGGGGCGCCGAGTAGCGCCTTGGCATTTGAAACGCACGGCAGCAGGCACTGAGGCGCGGGGGAAAATCAAACGCGCCCCCGTTGCGCGCGGCGCCCTCCGGCTCGGCCACGCGCGCGCGCAGGCGGCCTGGTCAATCAGAGGCAATGAGCTCGCTCGCCGCGATGCCCCAGCCACCTCCACTGATGACTGGCCACTCCAAGGGCCCGATCACTTCGACGAGTGCCCCCGACAGCTCGACGGTTCCAAGTCCAAGGCCCTCGTTGGTGATCAGGTAGGTCGAGGCGGACGCCATCGAGGTGCCCGTCGCGAGCGAAAATGACCAGCTGTGCCACGACGGTGTCATCACGGAATATGGAATATGTCACTGAGCACGTTGCCCCCCAAAACGTGGACTGAGTCAGCGGCGCTACGCTGCCCGGATGCTCGAGAGCGCCGTCTCCAGTCTGTCGAGCCGCTGCCGCGTGCATGCCGCGCCCTGCCTCAGCCGCCCGCGACGCGGGGGCCGACGCCGACGCCGAGAACGCCCATGTCTCCTGCGCGAGTCAAACATTCGCCGACCCCTCCTTGTCACGCCCCGCCCACGCAATGAACGCTTGTCCTGTCGACCAGGCGTTGCACATGCGCGTGGCGACCTGTGGCAGCGCGTCTTTTTCCGCATCGCATCCGCGCGCGCAGATTCAGCCCTGGCGCGGGGCACTCCCGACCATGGGCCCCGCCGAGCTGTCTCTGCAGCAGGCCTTGCATCGCCGCCGGGCCTGGGTTCGCGCCCCGCTAGGCCAGTCGCCAGACCCGCCCGACCACGCGCGCCACCCATCTGAAAGACCCAGCACTGGTCGGCTGATTCTGACCATTGCCTTCCGCAGCCGCATCGGGCGCCAGCGGGGAGAGGGCCGACCCCGACTTCTCCGACAACGGCTGGGCGGGCCCAGGACTTCCGAGCCCCGAGCTGGGCCCTCCGCCCCCTCGGGATGGGCGCAAACGCCGCGCTTGCCTGGCGGCGACCTCAGAGGCATATCCGAGGTTGCCCCCAACCCCTGGCGGCGAGCTGGAAGCCGCCGGAACCGAAGTGCCCGTTTGTCTCGCCACGCTCTGACCTTCCTGGGGTCGGCATTGCGGTGGCCCGTGGACGAATGAGCAGGCGGTGCGCGTGAGCCGCTGACGTCTCCTCGCAGCCCCGCGTCGTCGCCTGTAGATGGACCTGGCCCGGGTGGACATGGGCACTTCGGTCACCGACGCCTCCTCGCAGCCTTCCATCGCTGCCCCCCGTTTGCGCCCCGATGGCGGATGGGGCTCTGGGAAGGGCCGGCAGGGGCGGCAGCCGCGCGCCTGGCCGTGGGCGAGCTCCCGCCAGCAGTCCCGCCGGCCCTTGGGTCTTGGCGTCGGCTGCGCAGCTGGGGCTTGGGCGTCTGGCCGCTCCTCGGACGTGCGCCGCTTGGAGCCGAGCCGCTTCCGCATGGCACCCACCTCCACGCGAAGCTGCTCCAGGTCGCTGGCCGTCTCGCCGAAGAGCTCCTTGACCTTGCCCTGAAGCTCCGCCGCGGAGCTCGATTGGAGATTCTCCAGCGCCTTCTTGTCTCGCTCGTCCACCTCCAGGCCGACCGTGGAGAAGACCGCACCAGCCTCGAAAATGAACTCCTCGACATCAAGCAGCCGCGTGTGATCGAAAGCTGCTGGGGGATCGGGAGGAACTGGCATGTGCGCGCACCCATTGTGCACGCGGGCAGCGCCACGCGCATGCTGGCACTCCCGTGGCGCCTCTTATGCCTCGAGCTGCTCCAGAGCACACTGGTCGGCTTCTCTTCCGTAGCCTTCCCGCGCTCGTTGTGCCACGTCGAGCGCCTTGCGCCCACTCTCTGCAGCTTTTGTCGAAAGCCGCGTTGGCCCTCTCGCGCGCCTCGCGAAGCGACTCGACCTCTGGCGGTGCAGGGGGCGTGTCCACTTTGATGGTGGCCAAGGTCTGGGCGACGTGGGGAACGGCGGCCTGGAGAGCTTGGAACAGTTCTGCTGGCGACTTCTCCACCGGCCGCTTGTTCCACGCCCTGGTCTCGTTGCCGCATCCTTTTTTTGCGAGCGTGTCTGGACTTGGGCCACTTACTCCACTGCGACCACCCTGCTCTCTGCACGGTTTCGATGTCCATGGCGGTGGCAACTCCAGCTGTCTGCTGCAAGTTAAGCACGAGCCACGGCCTTTCCAGGTCCATGTGTACCCGCACGACCCACACTTGGTAGATCCACCCATGAAGCTGACTTCCCTGAAAAGCCCAACTTCACCAACCCCACCTGACAGCAGGCGAGGTACGCTCCACAGCTCACGCCCCAACCAAGCTGAAGACTAAATTCCTGTCCATGGGGGAGGTAAGCGAAAAGATTGCAGCTTGGCCGCAGATCAGCGGTGCCCGCGTGGTCCAAAGGGGGACCAAGAGCCTGGAGCCAGAATGGCTACGGAGGAGGAGGAAGAGGAGAAGGAGGGGCAGCCCGAGACGTCTGATCTGGGAGAACATTCTGCCAAAAGGTGGGGCACGAAAGTAAATCCGCTCAAAATCGGTCCCCTAACCGCGTCCAGCCGTGGCGACGAGGGGGGGGCCCTCCCCCACATTTCTGACTGCTGGAAGCAGTGCTGGGCCAGCTCCAAGGAAAAGGAGGAGGAAGAGGAGGAGGAGGAGGAGGAGGCGGAGGAGGGGGGAAGAGGAAGAGGAGGAGGAGGGGGAGAAGGAGGAGGGAGAGGAGAGGGAGGGAGGAGGGAGAGAGGAGAGAGGAGGGAACGTGAGGAGGAATGAGGAGGAGGAGGAGGAGGAGGAGGAGGAGGAGGAGGAGGAGGAGGAGGGAGAGAAGGAGGAAGTGCAGAATCCGGAGCAAGAGCAGAAGAGGCCTGCACTGCGCAGCTTCCGCGTGGACCCAGCTGAAAGGGGCCGCCACAGTGCCGTCCTGACGCTTGGGCAGGGCGCTGCGGGGCAAGATGGTGACGTCGACGGTGAGCGCGTCCGACCTCCCAAGGCTTCCCAAGGCCTCCGAAGGCCCCCGAAGGTCTCCGACTCTTTCCGGGGGGCATTTAAACGGTGGGCGCCGAAAGATGCGGATATCCCCCGCTTCCCCGGAACCCTCCCGAGCCCCGACTTCGGCTCCGCCGTGCTATAGGCGATTTTGTCTACTTTTCAAACTCCGTTGATCGCCTTACGTTGCCGTCGCCGTTTCCGCCGTGCGCGGAAAGACCCGCCTTCTTTCTCAGGCGAAAATGTATGCGATACGTTTCCACATCGTTTTGGGTACACTTCCGACACTTTTCTTTTGGAGAACCATCCGAAATACGGCTGATCTGGGGGTGCATTCTGACCAGCACGTCGAAGCGAATCCGACCGTGAAGACGAGTGCCTCCCATGAGGCCCACGAAACAAGGCAAGGTTAGCGGTATCGGCAACTTGTGCCCTCCTAAGGCCTCTGACGGCCTCCAGTCGACTCGAAACGCCTCCGACCAAGACGCACTATGTCTTAACCCCGCGCGGGCGATAATAACCCCCCTGGGATGATAAAATTTGCGATTCCCGCGGGGATACTAAAAGGATTTGCCCGGGGAAGGTAAGTTATGACGATGATGAGGAGGACAACGACGATGATGGAGGAGGAGGAGGAGGAGGAGGAGGAGGTTAAACCAGGCGCACGACAGAAGCCTGACTCGAGCGATCTCGAGGCTCGTGGCTACTTGCCCGCAGAGACGCAGGACACAAGGCTGACTCGAGCGATCTCGAGGCTCGTGGCTGCTTGCCCGCAGAGGCGCAGGACGCAAGGCTGCCTCGACCGATCTCGAGGCTCGTGGCGAAGCAGGCGCTTAGCTTGTGCCAGCGCTAGAGAGGTCCTTGGCCGATCTGGCCAAGAAGCCCCTCTTGCGATGGACTTCGATGCACTCCCCCATGCATGCGAGGCATCCTTTGGGGCCGTCCTTGCACGAGAGACACGTTGTGCAAAGCTGGGCGGCGGCGCTAGCCTCCTCGTAGCTGCCGCGCTTCGGCTCGGCCGCCGCGGGGCCCTTGCAAGGGTTGGACTTGTGCTTGGCCTTGGCCTTGGCCTTGACCTTGGCCTTGGCCTTGGCCTTGGCTGCGTCGTTGTCGCTCGCCTCCTTGAAATCATTGATGAACTCGTTCCCTCGAGCGACCGCGGCGCGGAGGTGCGCCGGCATTTGGCGGCCCTCGCCGCGGATCTCGCGCAGGGCGCGCTCGATCCAGCGGCGCGCCCAAAGGCCGCAGCTCCAACCGTCAACTTGGCATCGCATGTTGCTCGGTGCTGTGCAATGCTCGCCAGGGCCAATGGCGCCGAGCTTGCGGAGGATCCTCGCGGCGGCCTTGGGAGGCCACGCGCGAACCCTACCCGCGATTTCTGAGGAGAAGGGCAGGGTACACTTTGCTCGGCAGCTCCCGAGCAAAGTGAGCCCCACCTTCCCCCATCAAAAATCGTGGGGTGTAGGCGTGAACTCGCATGTGGCCCTTTTGGGCCTGCTTGGCGTTCTCGGACGGCTGCTCGAGGGCGTCGCGGTAGTCCACCTCGACGCCGCCCCCGTCGATCCTCGAGACCCGGCGGTGATTGCCGCAAGTGCCCCCTGCCCAGGGCGCCTCCAGGATTCGCCCCAAACCGGAGCGAAACGCTGGAGGCACCCCGACAGGGAGGGGGGGGGGGGGGGGGGGCATTGCAGCAACCGCCGACCTTGAGGTGCGCGTAGCGCGCGGGCGCCTCGGAGTGCATGCAGACCAGCACGTGCTGGGCCTTGTCGACCCTCTCGGCCCAGCGTTTCTGCTCCTCGGGCTACTGGGCGGCGGGTGCGACCTCGCCCTGGCCCTCTCGAGCCCAGGCGACGGCCGTCGTGGGCTCGACCGCCAGCACGTTGTCGGGGGCGCCCACTCGCTCCTCGATCTCGCCCAGCAGCGCGCGCACCGTGCCCAGCTCCAGCTCGAGGGTGTCGCCCTTGACGATCTGCTCGCAATTCATGATCGCGCGCTCCTTGGCGAGCGCGGTGCGGCGAGCGTGTCTTGTCTGGCGCCAGTCGAGCTACTGCGGCTTGGGGAACTTGTAGTCCTGCTCGATCGTGACCTGAGGACTCGCCAGACGCCCTGCGCTCTGCCGCGCCTGCCCTCGTGGCTGCCCTCCTCGGTGACGCGCGCCACCTTGCCGTGCCGGGGGGGCCCTCGCAGGCCTCGAGGCCGCCTTTCTACTTGGCCTTGTCCTTCTGCTTGCTGTTCTTATCCGCTTGCTGCTTCTGCCTGAACTTCTCGGGGAAGCTCGCGCGCGCCTTCGGCGGCCTGCCTGTGAGCTTCGCCTTGGCCACGTTTCTGCTGAGGTGCCCGAGCGAGGTCTCGCCGCCAGCCTTGCCCTTCTCGCGCAGCCACTTGCGAGCGTGCTTGCCCGGGAACTGGCCCACGAACTTGGACGCCCACTTGTTCTCGCGTCTAATGGTCCGCGCCAGCTTGATCATGTTCTCGAGGGCGCGCGGGAACTCGATGTCCTTGATCCGCTCCTCTGGCGGTTTGCGCATGTCCTTCTGCTCGTCGGTGAGCTCGAGGTCCAGCTCTCGGAGCTCCAAGAGGCAGGGGTTCTCGCCCTCCTCGAAGTCCCTCGGCAAGTCGTCGTCGTGGAAGCAGTTGCCGTCGAGGGTGCTCCACTCGGGCGCTGGCAGCACGCCCTCGGGCCAGCTCTGGATGCCCTCGAGGCGCCGTCGCGCCTGGCTGTTCTCGATGCCGCGGCCGGCCTCGGTGGCGTAGCTTCGCGGCTCCATGCCCGTGACGACCTTGAGCTCGCCTTGCTCTGTCGGCCGGACCACGAGCATTTGGTTGGCTTGCAGCCCTTGGAGCGGCACCGCGTCCTTGTTCTGCTCGCGGAAGCGGGCGCGGGCCTCGGGGGCGCAGTTGAGGCGCTCGTAGGGCCCCCATTGCGTCGGGGACTTGTGCTCCATCTGGGGCTCGGCCTTGGTCTCCTAAAGCCAGTCCTGCTCCATGGCCCAGTGCATCTCGGCCTTGACCTCTCGGATCTTGGCGTTGAGCTGGCTGTGCTCGCGTTGGCCGGCTCTTGCAAGAAGCTCGTGACGTCGGGGGCCATGGGCGAGTATGTGATTTTATCGAGCCACGCTCGCAGCGCCACTGCCTCGGCCCACTGGCTCGAGAGGCAGTCTGCGAGCACGAGGCTCTGGCCGTGCTCCTGCTCGATGAAGTCGACTACCCAGCTTGCCACCAGCTCGCCCGTCCAGGCTCTCCTCTGCCCCCGCGCGTCGATGGCCTCGAAGACCCTCGCGCGTTCCGCCTCAAAGGACTCGAGCAGAGCGTTGCGCCGGCCCTTGAGCAGTGCTCCTAGGGGATCGCCTGCTCGGAAGCGCTCCGTCTCGCCATCGCTCCGCTCATAGGTGACGTCTCGCCGCAAGGTGCCCTCCTCGAGGTTCATGTCGCTGACTCGGCTGTGCCTTGCGCAGGGGACAAGGAGCGCGCTGCGCTTCTTGGCGGACCTCGGCCCCCTGCTCGGGTCGAACCAGTTCTCGGCCGCGGAGACGCTGATCAGGGTGAGCCTGTACTTGTCTCCTGCGCTCGAATAGGCCTGCACCACTTGCTCCTCGTGGTCGGGGTGGTCTGCGAAGTACTTGGCCTTCTCCGTCTCGAAGGCTGCCTTGTTCTGCGCGTTGCACGTCTCGCGGAACTTCTTGCGGAGGTTCGCGAGGCGTTCCTTGACGCCCGCGGCGTGCACCATTTGGGCGCTCGAAAAGCGCGCAGAAAGAATGGGCACAATGCCCCGCAACAACTGTTGTGCCGAACCAAGAGCGGCCGCTGTTGGGCAGGCGGCCTTCGGTCTCGAGTGGGCGCAGGCCACGGCGACGCCGACAGCGAATCCTGTTCAAAATGAACAGGAACTGCTGTTGTGCACTGTACCCTTTCCTTCCGCGCCGAGACCTCGGTCTCGCGGACGCACGCGCGCTCCTCGCCCCGGAGCTTGAGCCAGAGCACGGCGGCGTCGACGACGACCGCGCTCACGCTGGCCCTGTGCTCGGCGAAGGCCTCGGGACCTCCGCAGAAGAGGCGGGGGTCCTCGGAGCCGCCCTTCGCCGCCAGGTGCACGATCCTCGAGGTAGTAGTAGTAGTAGTAGTAGTAGTAGTAGTAGTAGTAGTAGTAGTAGTAGTAGTAGTAGTAGTAGTAGTAGTAGTAGTAGTAGTAGTAGTAGTAGTAGTAGTAGTAGTAGTAGTAGTAGTAGTAGTAGTAGTAGTAGTCGTAGTAGTAGAGGAGTAGTAGTAGTAGGAGTAGGTAGTAGTAATAGTAGTAAGTAGTTTGATTCTCGTTCGTAGTAGTGGTTTGGTGTACTACTACTACTACTACTACTACTACTACTATACTACACTACTACTACTATACTAGTACTACTACTACTACTACTACTACTACTACTACTACTACTACTGGTAGTAGTACCTGGTCATATTACCTGGCAGCAGTACCTACTACTACCAGGTACTACTACTACCAGGTACTACTACTACCAGGTACTACTCCTTGGTATTACTACTACTACTACTACTACTACTACTACTAATACTACTACTACTACTACTACTCTCTACTCCTACTCCTACTACTACTACTACTACTACTACTACTACTACTACTACTACTACTACTACTACTGGTAGTAGTACCTGGTCATATTACCTGGCAGCAGTACCTGGTAGTAGTAGTAGCAGTAGTAGTAGTAGGTAGTAGTAGTAGTAGTAGTAGTAGTAGTAGTAGTAGTAGTAGTAGTAGTACTACTACTACCAAGGAGTAGTACCTGGTAGTAGTAGTACCTGGTAGTAGTAGTACCTGGTAGTAGTAGCACGTGGTGGTGGTAGTAGTAGTAGTAGTCGTAGTAGTAGTAGTAGTAGTAGTACTAGTACTAGTAGTGGCAGTGGTAGTGGTAGTGGTAGTAGTAATAATAGTCCCTGGTAGTTGTAGTAGTAGTAGTAGTAGTAGTAGTAGTAGTAGTAGTAG